CATCTATTCAAATCATTTCAGCAGATGCAGTGTTCGTATGATCTTTATCTCTTACAGGACATTATAAGTTCTTCAACTCTTTTTCCCACAAACGTGTCTTCCAATGGTAACCTGTTGAAACGAGCAAAGGGGCTTAAAAGGTAAAACCTTACTCCTCAAACGATATTCGTCAATAATTGACCCTTAAATTTAATAATTGTAGACAATCTTCGATCGTTCTTTGTTTTGAAACATAGTCTTCTCTAACTCACTAATACCGTATATACACAGGTAGTATTGAATGTAAATGAACACTAATATTTCTATGATATTATTACCTTAAGCCCTTACAGGATATTTCTCTCTAATTAGAGCAATGCGTTCTGTGCGAAAAAGTCTACACTGCAGTAAAAAGACACAATTCAATGAAACCTGGTCCCCAGGGTAGTTGGTTACCTTGTTGATTCCTCGTGTAACTTTCTCGCACAACTGTCAGCGAAGCCACACGTAAAATAAGACATTTGGACGAAAGGTTCACGAGCTAATTAGTGCTTTTTTGCAGTCCATAGCACTGTTGAAAGCTCTTAAGAGAAATTTCAGCCTCTGGATAATTTCTACAGGTCATATAAATAAGGGCTGCGCTTCATTTCCTCTCGGTCGCCTCTTTGCTGTGTTATCTCTGTCTTGTACTACGGTTACTCTCATATATATATATATATATATATATATATATATATATGTATATATAGATAATATAATATAAATATATTTAATCATTAATATAAATTCATTCAAAGGGCACTTTTTTTTGTGTATAAAAATTGTGCACGCAACATAAATATTGACAACGGTGTTGCCACCATTCACCCGCTAAGGTATAAAGGCGTAAGGTCCTACGTTTACGCTATCCTAATCATAGTATCCTGATTTCGTTGATCAATGCATTGTTCTCACGCTCAGTTATCGCTCATAGTAGGAGATGTTGAAAAAATCCTGGAAAATGGCGGCCATTTTTTTGCGAAATATCTGCATTTCTACTTACATATAGTATGTTGCCCGAAGGCAATATGTCAGTATGTAAAGTTAGCAATTTGTGCATTTATTTGCTTCGAAGTTTGACGTAGCCGTTCCCTCAGCGTGACGAAAGCGCTCCTGCTGTTATACACTGTTCCTACGCATTGTTCTTACTGTAGTTTTACCGCTGCTGCTAGGCAATGTGTAACAGTTACAGTGGGAATTATACCATCAATTAGAAGTTACTATATAGTAGCAATATCCGATAGCACTCATCGCCGAAACCTGATTCAAATTTTTTAAACTGAATCCCTATTTCGACTGCAAGTCATGTTGCCACAAGCAACAGATGCTAATAAAGTGAAGTTTTTTTACTTTTACGTCAAAGTTCGGCCCAGTCACCTTAAAATATCTTTGTGTAAATAATAGCTAGTTGTACCACCGTCACAAATAGTTAGCATGCGCCAGAGGATATATTTAAGGCAATGAAAAAGGTAGCTCACGAACTTCGCAGTGCCATTGGTAATCTTTGACCAAAGGCCCAAATCTTCGACAAAACATTTTTCAGCACAAAAAAGGATAATTGAACTCGGATAAACCTCAACATAGACCATCTATAGGCCTCTAACTCGCAGTGAGCTGGAGAGTACAGACTACGTTTCGACTCAGATCGTCCCTTGTGGAAATTGACGATACAAATTTCCTGCAAAGAACTTGTTATATAACAACTTAAACTGCACAAAGCTTTAACGATTCTAACAGTGTTCATGATGTTACCGGAATTTTCTTTTTTTTACATACGAACCAATGTCTAGACCCTGTGCGATGCAATAACCGTATGGATCCATCTAGCGTGATTCAGAAATGAACTGGTCCCAAGTAAAAGGCAGAAATTAGAAAATAGTTCCATCAATGGATAGCTTTGATGGGCATTTTCTCTATTAGTCGAAGAACTTGTTACTCAGATAGCACATCAAAAGCCCAGATTTAATAGCATTCAAACTGGGCTAAAAAACAAAATGTTTCACTGACAAATTTCACATACGTTTATACATATTTTTTAGTTTTGCGTTTCCGCTGTGCGGCATATATAGACTGGTAACGGTTGATGCCGCGGATATTAACTTCGACCAAAATTTCTACGGGTCCCTAATGCCATCAAATGAAACGAACGTAATAAAGGCTCAAAAAATACGGTTGCCACGGACAGTAAGTTCAATTTTATGTCGCTGCGGTGGTCAATGTAACTTACACAGAATTAATACATTAGGATTAAAGTAGATTGCACGTGTTTACTACTATCCATAAAAAGAATTTTTCAAAGCCGTCTTCAATTAATCATCTCTGTACATTTTTCCTGCTTGTTAAATGTCACCGTTTACTCACGTTTCCAGGCCGCCTTACTGCATGTTTTTTCGATACAGGCACCACGGGTGGTAACATGATTAAGTAGGACCTAGTTGCGAAAACTCGTTGTAAAAATCGACATAATGATTTATGCGTGCGATCGTGCTGCACGTCGAGCATCGGTGGAACAGAACTGCGCAATAAAATCAATTGTCGCTGGATCGGCAGAATCGAAGGGAGCTAATGCTCGTTGCAGCATCCAGCCATTGCTTGGTCAATAAAAGCCGAAAGATGACGGAAGGCGAGGACAAGGGCGAGGTACGAACCCCAAGCTGCCATCCTACTGAGGAAGAACGAACAGCAGTAAGGGGCAAGAGGAGACGTGGGTAGTGGTGGTGGGGTGCAAATTTACAGCTCGGGAAGGCTTTTCCTACCAAGAAGGCGAATCTTCGGATCGCTACGGTCGGTAAAACCGGGCCTGGTGAGGACTGGCACGAGTTGACTGAGTTGCTGGTGAAAAGGGCTAAAGAGGGACGTCCGATCAAGAGACAGCAGGCCTTATTGTCAGTTGAAGCCGGCGGGAAGCTGACCCCGAACAGGCCTCCACCTACTGCGGCAGACTGGTGAACGTTCTCCAGTACACTTCACGCCGGCGTAGCGCGAGGTCCACGTAACGCCTACTGGTGGGGGGGGGGGGGGGGGGGGGGAGGATTAAAGAAAGGGGACTTCGGAAGTGGGAGAAACGTGCAGGACACATGCAGTGTGTAGTAACCATTTTTTTACCCGCTCTCTTTAGCGTGACCCCTCCACAGTGTATCATGAGTGTGAGGGCCAGGTTGGTAACGGCCGTGGCCTCATAGGCTTTTGTCCATGCACTTCGTACCGCGAGCATGGCACTGTGGATGGCGCTGTTCCCCCAGCTACAACCCAGCAAGCTACCGTACTGCCGATCCAATAAAAGTTTTACAGTCTTTCTGTTTTTTATTCGAAGCGACCTTAATTCCGCTACCGCCACGCACTAGCACGGATGGATTGTTGCCCGGGGAGAAACGGCTTCTACGTGGAAAAGCGTTTTGGCTGGAACGCGTGCGAGCAAGCAAGAAGCAAGCGGGTATGGATCGCTTCGTTTACAAGCGCATCGCAGCCGTCTTAAGCTGATGTCGTTCTCTAGTTAAGAAGATTGCGTGGAATATTTTTGTGACGCAGGCGGGACCGCAGTAGCTTCTCCTACCATAACAGTAAAGAAAAACATTATTCTAAGATGAGGAATAGAAAGCGACGGAAAACAAGCATAACAACAACGGTTTTGGGGGTCTTCTTCTAAAATGGACTTGGCGTTTAATCATTGAGAGTAAGAAATGCTTGTTCCGTCGATTTACCGATGCTTGAATGATTGCCCGCTAACTCCGGAGGTACAACAAGTTACTGTTGAAACACTTGTTTAGCTAATCGACCAACGTGCAGGTTAAAACAGCTTTTCAATTAGTTGTGTTCAGTGAATTCTTGCCTGTAAAAGTGACCTGAATAAAGATAATGCGGGCCTTAGCACAGAGATTGACTATTAACGATTTGTATAAGCTGGATATTTGTTTAAGATCAGTAGCAGAACATAAACGTATAGTAAAACGTGTACCTTTTTTAAAGTCTTCAGTGGGTCATATATTTTATGAGAATGGACGTCGCATTGCAAATGTAACGACTAACAGAAGTTTTCCTGTATTAATTTTCCTTAGAAGCAGCTATTTTGAAAGAATCAATTAGACGTAACTATACATCCGCTGTAAATATGTCCCGGATTCCTGTAATCCTCCGTCGTTTAGCGATTTGAGGGCTACAAAAATATCGTCAGCAGCTAACAGGGGGTCAAAGTCTCGAAGCAGATCAAGTGAAATGGAAGGCGCTCAGAGAATTCGCGCGTTTCTCCGGGTATCCCTTCATTGGGTTGGCGGCCGCCGATAGAAAATCTGATCCGAAATTTCATGTCATTCTAATGCGTTCTCGTTGCTCGGGTGGGACAACGTCCCTTTGTTGTGCTGACGAGCTGCAAGAAGACACTTGATTGGCGAATAAGGCTTTTAAGCGTATCAAAATCCTCCTTTGACTTTCTTCTTTCACAGCAGCGAGAAACCAAAAACAAAGGTTGCACAGCTTATTAAATAAGGGACCAAGACTCAGGCCAGTTCCGGAAATAGGTTCCGCAACGTTGCGCGCAGCTAAATAACTTTTTAATCGCATTTAACATCTTGCCATTTTCTTCTTATATCGAAATTAACAGCACTATAACAAACATGTCGTAAATTAGTTGTGGGTCCTTTTGAGTCAAGCGCAATAGTTACCGGTGGGTTTTTTTTACTATAGAAGAGCTTTATTTTTACTTTCCAGCAAGTTTGCAAGCATTTACGTTTCGTTATATATATATATATATATATATATACATACGTATTTTGCAATACCTCTTTTCTATTTTTCATTTTCAAAATCGATTATCGTATATAAAAAGACTTTGGAAAATTGGTTTTCGAGAAGTTCGGTCCGTTTACTGTTACAGGGAGCCTGGTGACTATTTTTAAGCCCCGCGAGCATCGTTGTCCTCTCGACCTGCCTACTGTGTTAGCACAAATAAAGACTCATAAAACAGATGGATTTCGTTATATGTTTTATTAAATTAGCACATATCCGCAGTTAATCCCGTACCTTCTGTCTCTCGTAGGAACTGTCCGAAGTCCACTACCGTATATTTTTGTCCTCCCATTCGATTAGCCATATGAGGTTAATGTATTTCTATGTAAGAAGTTGTGAACGATACAGATTCGTTTTCGATACTTGTTGATACGATTACTCATTGAATTGCAGCTGGCTTGGCACAACCGCGCACCGAGACCCGTGCGCTTTAACGGCGTCTTCGCCTGTTTTCGTTGTCTAAGGCTTCTATTTTCGATGTTTTTAAGCCATAAGACATAGCCGTCTAAATAATTTACCTTTTTCTTTAGAAATTTATACTGCTCGATGCTGCTCAGCTGCTTATAGGCCAGGCTTATTTTTCGATGCAGTTATATCATATCAAGCCTCCCATATGATGTTTTTCATTTTTAACCTATATTTTTGGTGGTGTATTTACAAGAAGTGAGCTTGCAAGAGGTAAACTGGATTCTGTTTTTTGGTAGGTTTACCTGACAGACTGGACTGGAGGTGTTCAAATAGCTTGTGGCAGGTTCTGTTTTTTTCCAAACGAACGAATGCACTTTGAATAATGCTATTGTGATTTCGTGGTACTGACGTATCATGTTCTTATCTTCCGTCTACCTGTGTACCTATACACAGTAAAGAACACCAAATAAGTATTATTATATATTTGTCCTGTTTTGTCAAAATGAGGGCGCTCCGATGACTAAAGATGGACACACTTACATATAGATGAAACTACATACTAGTACGTCAAACAGCAGAGAACACCCCACAAAGGTGCCGTGGCTTTCGACACAAACAAGCAATTTTACCATTGTCAACAGGCAAATAATCGTCTATTAACAGTCGTCAAAAGTCTTGTATGTTTTATATTGATCTGCTTGACAAGCTGCTGTTCATTGTATCGTTTGAGACGTACTCTATCCGAATCAGTCTGATTCGGACGCACTCCATCATGAAGGCCCATAAACGACTGACATGAAATACGTATATACCATTAGCAGCGATATAATGTAATCTTCTTAGCTATAATGCGTACCCATAGGTGAGCATATAATTATGGAGATGGCTCATAGCGCGACACATTTGGTGCAAGGACGGAATAGGGCAGTGGCCAAAAGGAGAACCGGGAAAAAAGGACATGCAACCGAGCGGCTTCCGGGACAATTGTATATTACAGCACACATGGTTTGGCATGATGAGTATAGCGCCACTTTACCATTAGACACCTACATACATCTTTGTATAGGTAGATAGAAATTTTCTAGGTTTGAAATATACTTGTATACCTAGATAATAACAATAATAGCATTTGTGCCAGTATTTGTTCCGTGTGCTACTGTGGCTTTCCTTGGCGGGTAGATGCGGGACGGGGCTTAAGCCGGGGCTTAAGATGGGTGCTGAAGCCACTACTACGTTAGAAGACTTCTTAAGAGGAAGAGGACGAAAAGCTTTCTGGAAGATGATGGTTGTGCTCAAGTGCATGCGAGATGATGGGTCCGGCTTTTATACACAGCGGAAACTTGGTTGTTAATCTCCGGCCAACATCGTATCACAGGCTTTATGTGTATGTGTTTACTTTTATCTGTGCCTGATGGTGCCCGATAAATTTCCATAATGATCATTCAATTTTACGTTCTGCTTGTTTTCTTTTCACATTCTTCTATCCATCGTCTCTTCGTAGAACACGCTTCCATTTTACTGTAGGGACTTTTCTCGGACATAGGGTTTTGTTAGTGGGTCTCTGACAGCTGGTAGCAACTATAGGTGAATGTACTTATTTAGTGTAACTGTTTCCAGAGCGCATTTATGCTGATACGTATAAACTGATGACTTCCAGTTAAATTCGGTCGATTATATTTTGTCAATCGTAAATACAAAACTTGTTTTTACGGATAGTTCCCGAAGTATTTAAGGCTAAGTATTCGCCACCGCATCAACATGTTTCAAGGGCGTTCTGCCCTCGCGCCCAGCTAATTATCAGGAATCAGTCTATGATAACCTCTGTGATTTTGCCGCAAATTAGAGATATTGTTGATGAATGAATATGATGTTAAGTTTTACCGTTTTCCTTTGAGAGAATACACTGGCCAATAAGCTAGCCAAAGTACGATAGTCTACCTAGAGATGCATCACCTTCGTGGTGATCCTCTGAGTAGCGTCGTATGGTTTTTCCTTGTTCTGAAACAATCATTTTGGCCAGTGCTGCCGCCGCCGCCGCCGCCGCCGCCGCCGCTGCTGATGGAAGACGTGCATCAAAGCAGATACTCGTTCATACGATTCATTTGCAAATGTACGTTTCTGTACGGGTCTCACAGAGTTTACAGGTTACATAGCAACACCAGTGAAACTGACAATCGCACCGCTCCGTTATTCGCTTTACCTGAAATCAACGCACGACAAGTTTGTCTGAGATAGCTATCCGATAGGAGACAATGAGTCAGAAGAGGCAAAGCTTTTAAGAACCAGTTATAGTTGGAATACAGGCTTCACAGGATATACACAGGAATACGACAGCTAGACCGCTTAATTTCAGTGGAATAGCGCAATTGGTCGACCATGTATAACATAAAATTATGCTTTTCAGCGGGAGACTGTGGAGAAGCGTACAAAAACATCGTAGAATGTAAGATTGTTATGCGAGGATTCGAAATTAATGTGACGCCAATGCCAAATGCGAATCTTGTCCTTGAGTAAAGAGTTTTCAACATGGAAATGTATTTATCCCAGATTTTACATATAGGTTTATATGTTTAGGCCGTAGCACAGCTTATAAAAACCTCGCTATTAGGAAAATTTTAAAAATATCGGCTTCACATTGTCGTGTTTCGATCGCACGGAGCAAAACTAGTACCAGCGCTCTTTAAGGCTTCCAAACGGAGTGCTATGGTTATATACAAATAGATATTTTTGAACAGTTACATACTATTCTATAGAATTAATTTATTATATATCTTAGTAGTTTACAGTCCTAATTTTACGTCGAATAGGGAATGGAATAATATTAATAAGCGGATTGGTCAGCCGTAACAATGTCGACGATCGAGGGAGCGAAGATTTGACGAAGCTCCTTGAAACCCTTTGACTGGCAGAATTTTCACGCTTAGAGTCGTGATCGGAACCAATAAAGTGTTAATTTAGTTTTTTCGCTAAATCAACTCACTCTTAACTTTATATAACCTTTTTTTTTGGATAAACTGTCGGTGCTCCACTGCCCACCATATACTTCGATTCGGTTAAAAAGAATATAATAAATTATATAGGTCTAAACAAGTGTCAAAGAAAGAATACAGACACGGTGTGTAGATCACATTTGATACGCATAGGTGATGAGGCTTTCCCTAATTTGCCTCACAAGCTGTGATAGAAAAAAAAAAAAGAAAAACATTAATTTTGCAATTATGACGATGTTTAAAAAGCGCTAACAAGGATTCCGTATATGGTACAAGAACTATGGCCGGAGCTTACAATCTTTCTAGCGCCTCGCCCACAGCAGAGATGCTCGCAGCTGTCTGGTCCATTTGAGTATTTGTTACAGACTCTACCCGATGTTCCCAGGATCTTCTTGCGTGCGTTTCGTTCGCAAAAATCGGGCGAATCATGAATGTGAACGAGGGAGTCGCGGGAGACTGGAACCCGTCGCTTACCACGCTTACGACGCTTCAAAGCTTCAGCAGTTATCTGTAATAAATTTAATAATAACGATAATGTAGAAGTATTTGCCACTTGGCTGTGTTTATTTGTAAGCGGTAATTAATAAGTGGCTTTATATCACATTCGGAACATTTATTGCTATTAACTGTTATATATAATATGAAGGTTACTATTTTTAAATAAGTTCATCAAAGGCTTTCATGCCATCGGGCCGTCAGCACCTCTCAATACATATTTCTAACTCTACTATGTAGCCCCTTGCTAGAGGGCCGCCTTAACCCTGGTATATTAAATCAATGTTCGGTACGTGATTGGCTGAAGTAGTTTTTTTAACGTTGATTCGAATTGTTGAAATTCTAATAGGGCAATGATGACGTGTTGGACGATTTCTCCGACCTGAGTGGTCCCAACTGACAGTAGGAAAAAATTTGTAGTTATAAAGGCTAGCACACACGCTGAAAAAGTAAATGCTCTCTTTATATGGCATAGTGTAAAAAGCTCAACAAATGCAATTAATAGGAGTAATGTATTTTGGTCCAATTTGCTAAAATTAAATTACTAATGCAAATCACTCAACTGTTGTATGCACATAAAACCCCTTTTCTAGCTCTCACACCAGCCAAACATAGGGTCTGGTTGGTACGAGACCCTTTTGACAGATTTTTATCAACACTATTGATAGTACTGGGCTTTAAAGAAAATGCATAGTTTCACCTATTGCGCCAGATGACGATGCGACACCGTACCGCGCCTGATTTGGGGACCCATCTTATGAAAGAGGAATGATTTTATTTTTCCTAATTTTTTAACATGGTCATTTACTTCACGCTAGTCACGCAATACACCTATTCTTCAATCAGAAACGTCTAGATAAACACTATAAAAAATCCAACAGGCAAAGAAGCCCCTAGCTATGTTATCTAGCAAATGCCTTTCTGACAGATTCAACCAAATAGCTATTGAGATGGTAACAGTAAGCATTCAATGTATCAATGAAGCCGCATAATGAAGGTCGTCACAAGGCTAAAAACGAGGATGGAGATGCTGGACTATACGGAATAAGCAACGATAGGATCGACGTGTTGTTATCACGATACCCACAGATCACTTGAGGACAATATATGGCTAAATAGAGCTTTTCTATCGTTGACTGGCGCCATTCGCCGGCTTCTCTAATACCAGTTACTTTATCTTCTACATCGATAGCGTGACATAGCTGCGTACATATCTTCTACTAAGACGTGTGCACGCCTGCACCCTAGTCATCGTTGACAGCTACCGGCGTGTCAGTTTTGATAGTGTGAAGACGGGATGGGACACCGTTTGATCGTGTAAAGCGTCACTTAAATCACCATAGGAAAGACACTGCGTTTTTGTTTTGTCTCGCGTCCTGCTTTCGGCCAATCTCGCCTCCTCAATACCCCATCTATTGTTTCTAAATTTGAGGAAACAATAGCTTAGATCGGTAGCCTTGCAGACTTCGTCTTACTGCATAACGTAGTGCAGAACAAAACAAGCAGCCCAGATTATTCTGGCATATTCAAGTATTTCAAAAAGCTTTTTTACGGTTTGACGAACTCAATAACGTACTCATTGTTTAAGAGTCAGACAAATGAATAAGGGCTTAGCACGAGGGCGGAGTCTAGCGAGCCACGATATCGTAATGTTGTAAAGCAGTCAGCGAAACGTCGCGTTTCTACAATGCTGAATGCCAACGCTTCGTGTTCTTGTTGGAAGCAATAGAAGCACCGAGCACGCATAATGGTCAGAGTTACGAGTAACTTGAGAGTTCGACAGATGAAGGAAAAATAAGGGGTCTAGGATTCGGGCTGCGCAACTCGCGTTGGCCTCCTTTCATCGAATGAACCTCCTAGCGGTCGTCGTTCACGCCAGCTATCTACGTTGCCTCTTCTTTTGAACGTCGTCATCGTCTCTGAAGAGCTAGCTTTTTTAGACAGGCTGTCACCAGTCGCGAATTTTTGTGAAATTCGATCTATTTTATTGAAAAGTGGTGCACAAGCGACATACGGCGTCTGCTACTTAGACGCGCGTCTCGTACGCTTCATCGTTCACTAGAACAGGCATGGAAACGAACCAGCCCAATGTGCAAAGAAGATGGCCAAGAAAGTCGGCGACCATAAGAGCTTGTGACGAATCGGATGAAAAAGAAAATTAGAAGTTCAACTTGCGGAGGGGTCAGTCGGAAACTGAAAGAAATCGTCGTGTAATAGTTCAAATCGACAAAAGGCGAATAGGGAAAGAGGAAAAGCGCCTGTGTTGCCACTTTGTTGAAGCCGCTTGTTCCGAGGAAGGAGTGACCAACTGTCACAACTCGTAGACGATTTGAAAACACTATTACTTTTGTTACGTATCTGGTCACGTTGCCTGTACTGCTTAAAACAGTAAACAAATTCTGTTTCCATCAATTGGTTGAATTTGTCGTATTCAATTGCCAGCACGAGCAAATGTTTCCTCTCTTCGTGCTTAACACTATCTGCTAAATGCTATCTGTGCCCACTTGTTCTCAAAGCAGTAGTTTGTCAGATTTTTTGTGACATTATGCGTTTCGATAAAAAGGTGGCTCTAAACAATGGCATATCACGCTGCCCTATATATTCAAATTGACTTTCCAACTAAAGTTCTTTTATGGGGCCTGAGTGTTACTCTTTCAAGCTGTTATACACAATACTTAATTTTATTTTCACTGCGATATATTTTACGGCCACGACAGTGCCCAGTGCCCAAATCGTCATTGGCACAGCTTCGCTTAATGCATTACTCCTAAGCAATTTAGCCTTTGAAAGTGGCTCGTCATTTTTTCCGTCGACCTGCTCAAAGTTAGGTGATGTCCAATGGGAGCTCCGGCTTCTTAGTGCCTTTAAGTCGTTTTCGGGAACGTTCCAATTTTCGGGCCGTAACGTCGACCCGCGTAGGCCTCGTCTCCTCCTTGAATGCCCTTAAACGTCCGGAAACCTAGACATACTGCTTCACTTCCTAGAATGCCTGCATGATCAGAACATGGGCCAGTATGGAACGTATCGGTAGTATAAAAAGGGATGCTTTCTTCGACATGGATCCGTCGTTTCGCTTAGCAAAACCAGAGGCGCGTCCGGAGACGCAGCACAGCTTACAAGGGGTTGCGGTGACATTGGCGGTTCGGCGAGTGGTATCTCTTCCGCAAGATTAGACCTGACGGCAAACACTGAACAATGTGATTCTGATGCAGTAGCCTAACCCGTTGGGATTTTTCCTTTCCAAGGGACGGCGGCCAGGAAAAGGAGACGCCGATTTGCTCACCTCTCTCTATTTTTTTTCTACCTTGAGTTCACCTTTTGCTTCTGTTCTGTCTACCGCCACCTTCCATTTTTCTGCCATAACGTTATCCTCTCTCTCTGTACCCGCGCCTCTTGTCGAACGGCGGTGTGCGCTCGGGCGACCTGAGCTGCTCTAGAGAAAGGTAGCAAAAAGGGCAGAACAAAAAGCTAAAATTACAGGCCCAACTGTCATGTGTGCCCGCTTCCTATGGCCACCATCAGTGGCACCCTGGTTTAACGGTGGTAGCACAGTGAGGCGATCCAACCGAACGGAGCTGAGTTCTGCACAGCCTTTTGGCGACACGCGCAAACTTTGACAAAGTTTCCTTGACTGTGGAAATACCGGTCCGATATGGTGACAATCTGCTGATCGTGCACTTTTTTTCCTTTCCTTGCCCCAGCTGACACAACCGAACATGAGATAAACGAAGAGTGAGCACCTTCTTTCCGTACCGTCGCGCTACATTACGAAATCCCGCTAGGGCATGAGAGAGAGAAACGTGAATACGAATATATAAGAGCGATATTCGTTGAACTGTTTTTTGCCCACCACAGGTAGATGGAAAATTGTCAAGAAAAAGAAAGAAAAGGCGCCAGAGACCTATTGATTAGGCGGAGGTCTAAACTTTATTCATTAACAGACGTGTACACCAGCAATAGTACCAGCACAAACTAGCCCAGCACCATACCTATATATATATATAATATATATATATATATATATATGGCAGCAGGAGTATTAGATGGGGCGACGCGACCAACAAGTACTGCGGCCTACCGGAGAAAGAGGATCTGTTATGTCACATCTCAGCGGCGTGCTGAAAAACCCGCTGAACGTGACACCTGAGGCGGCATAATGGGATCGGCTAAGGATAGAATACTTCGAAAAGCCTAGTCTCTGTAATAATGATAACGAAAAATTGCCTTTTTTCTCTTTGATGTAAAGGAAAAATGAGTTCAAAGAATCGCTGTTAGTTTAGCCGTGCGCTATGGTGAGGTTTTCAGAGTCTCGCGCACCGATCCCCAGTTTGCTTTGTCCGCGGAATGTTCTTTTATAGCGCTGACGTAGAACACAATGACAGATTCTGATTAGACAGTAATAAAAAAGCAAAAACGATGCAGACGCTACAAGCCTCGCCGCTTCACTGCGTTGCCGCCTGGCGGTGAAAATGAACATTTGAAGAAGTATCTGCCCTCAGTCACCGATATCAGGTGTCGTCGGGGCGTGTATGAAGACAACACTGTAAAGGCGGCATCATGAACGAAGAGTTTATGAGTTGTCTTGAATCTTCTGTTTCCTTGCTTGCGTACGTATTTCCGGATCTATACCGTTCGGGTGAGCCCGCTGAGACATCGAGCAACAAAAGCTGGTGGTCCGACGAGGGGTAGTAACAGTTTAATATGCGCCGTAAACCAACCTGCCCGGGGTCGGTGATAATGGACTGAGACAAGTTTTACTACATCCAACTGCAATTTGCAAACTAAATGAAATGTACAACAGCCCCGTCCGGAGCACGACATTAATGCTGTTGACCGGCGCAGGTTTATTCCCACACTTTGCGATGACAGTTTGCGTTCGCCGGCCCCCCTTTTCGATTTTTTCCCCGTTTGAAGCACCGTTATGCATATGTGGTGCGAGGGGTTACCGCTGATTCCAAGGTGGCATTTTTTGTCCTTTTTAAGGATCATTATCCAAACATTCGCCAATTGGTA